AGAATTTCACAACTCATATTTCTGAGTGCAGATGAAATAAAACAAGAGTTGCCTCAATTTCTCAAATGAATATTTTGCAATCCAGATAATCAAATACAATAAGGCACTTGCAAGGCCTCATTAACTCTATAAATTAGACCAAATGTGCACATTACACATACTGCATAAAATGTCCGGACGTATTTGCGTATATTTCTGTAAGACAAAACAAAGTTTACTTCAAATTCATACATAAGGATAGTTTTAATAATGTATTGCATTTCTTAATATGAATTCCATTTGCATTAATAAATCCATGTGTGCTTTAAGATGCCCCATGTTTTTAATTTTGCATCAGATGAAGGGAAAAGACTTGAAGACCAGTAGTATTTAATACTATAGGTTTTTAATATAGTGAGAGGCCACAGTGTCAGGTCATGAGATGAATAGAGGAGCGGAACAACGGGTCAATCGAAAGGATGTGTCCTTGAACACACTGATTATCTGCTCTCTGTTTCTATTTTCAGATCAATTACTAGATTAATAGACTTTTCTGTAAATTGACACTTCCGTTATTATAAGGATTCGATCTGGATATACTGTACAAGTTCTGATTTAGCCATTAAAACACGACATTTTACTTATTTCTTTAATTTGTCAGCTTTTTCATTGGAGTTTTAAAACAGCTTTAATTTCTCTTCATTTGTAATCCTTCTGTTTTGGCTAAAAGGTGCAAATCGCCTGACAGCTACAGCATGTTACTGCAATTACACTCATTGACTAAGAGCTCAATCTCAGCAACACAATCAGAGTGTGTGTGAGGACGGCTGTGGCTTTGATTGAATGTGAATGTAGTTAATCACTCTTGATGCGTGTGTCAACATCCACAACATCCAGAAAGTACGGCTATGCAGACGATCTAGCCATCATGCTGAGACGACCGACATGGAAGGCAATGGAAGATGGCCTTAACGACGACATGGGCACCCTGGTAGCATACTTTCAAAGGTGGCGTCTACAGCTCAACATCGGAAAGACAGTAGCAGCGGCATACCATCTTAGCACCAGAGAAGCTAGGAGGGAACTTGAGGTGCGTGTCAACAATAAACGTCTGGAGATCCAGCAAGCCCCGAAGTACCTCGGAATGCGTCTGGATCGGACACTGTCCTTCAAACAACACCTTGAAGAAGTCAAGACCAAGGTATCAAGGGGATCCGCCGCCTCGCTGGAACAACCTGGGGAGCCTGCGCTAAGACGCTGCGATTATGGACCCAAGCCCTGGTCTTCTCTGCAGCGGAATACTGCGCCCCAGCCTGGAGCAGAAGCCCTCACGCAAGTAAGGTTGACGTGGTCATCAACAACGCCCTCAGGATTATAACTGGATGCTTGAAGCCTACCCCTGTGTCCCTCTTGCCAGTCCTCGCGGGAATGGCTCCGGACGGCCTCCGACGGTAGGCTGCCACCCTCGCCCTGGCCAGGAAAGCCCAAAAGCATGACTGGCACATCCTGCATAACACAACGAGAGCAGCGCCTCTAAGTAGGCTCAAGTCCCGCCTCCCCTTCAACAAGGCAGCACAAGAGATTCTCAATTCCACCTCTGAGGACCCCTCCAGAGATGCATGGTTGGCGGCTGCTTGGAGGCAGGAGTGGGAGCTAGCCGGGCCCTCCCGCATCCATCGCTACATCTGGAACCCAGGAAAGGGCGCCATAGGC